GTCAACTTTCCTGCTCCTCTGATGCTGCCTGACCTGCAGTGTTCCTCCAGCTCCACACTTTATTGACAATGAAAGATGGTTGTGGTTATTGGAGCCTCAGTCATCTCAGCTCCAATACATCACCAAAGGAGTTCCATGGGCTGGGGTCCCAGACTCAAACGTCTTCAACTGCTTCAATGACGTCACCTCCCGCATAAGGTAAGAAGTGGAGATGTTCACTGATAACTCAGCACCATTCATGACTGCTCAGATACTGAAGTAGTTTATGTTCAATGCAGCAAGACCTGGAAAATAGCCAGGACTGGGGTTACAACTATCAAGTAATATTCTTGCCACACAAGTGCCAATGATCATTCCCAAAAACAAAATTCAACCATCACATCTTGACACTCAATGGCATTACCATCACTGAATTCCCCACTATCAACATCCTGGAGGCCACCACTGACCAGAAACTGAATGGGACTAGCTATATAAATAGAACAAGAGCAGGTCAGATTCTAGGAATTTTGCAGCAAGTGCACCTTTCCAAAATCATTCCACAAGGCACAGATTAGGAGTGTGATGGAGTACTCCACACTTTCCTGAAGCTCCAACAACATTCAAGAAGATCAACACCATCCAGGATAAAGCAGCTTGTCTGTGGAGAACCATATCCACAAATTTTCACTCCCTCCATTACTGAAACACAATAGCACCAGTGCATATCATCTACAAGATGCAAAACAGAGATCCAAAGACTCCTTCAAAAGCACCTTCCAAACCAATGGCCACTGCCATCTAGAAGGACAAGGGCAGCAGATACATGGGAACATCACCATCTATAAGATCTTCTCCAAACTACTCATCATCCTATGTCAGAAATATATATTGCTATTCTTTCACTGTCACCGTGCCAAAATCCTGAAACCTTCTCCATAGCATCAAATATCTATTCCAAATGGACTGCAACAAATCAAGGAAGTTGCTCATCACCACCTGCTCAAGTGCTTTTAAAAATGGGTAATAGATGTATGCCCAGCCAGTGAAGTCCACATTTAAGGAAAGAATTTTTAAAAATCTGATACATTGGAAGATTGCCAACACTGGAGATTCCTCTAGACTCCTCTCAACCAGCTAACCACGATGGGAAACTTCACTGCAAAACCTTGGATATAATATCTTCATGATAGCCTTAAGAGGCATCTAATCTTAGTGCCTTTTGATGTCAGTTCACCCTCTCACTAACCTTTCCTTAATGGTCTGTAAAACATGTCATGTGCAGATACTGTGAAGTGGGATCACAAAGATATCAAGTGTACAGTCAGATTTATAACTGGACAATTATTCAGGAACAGAAAAGGTCAAAAACTGTAAAAGTAACATGGTCCATGTGTCCTTTACACTCTCAGGCTGCTTGCCAACAGAATTTTAAACAATTAAAGGAACCCAAACCCAGCGCATTCTAGGGGTAGGTTTCAAAGAGGTTCCCTCTGGCTTCTCATGCTCTTTGCCACAATGCTCTGTCCAACTGTCTTGGATAAGAGACATATACAGTTAGAGTGAGTTAGAGTTACTAAGTGGTGACCCTGTGAGTGAAAGATGGCAGAGAGAAGATGGTGGCAATTATCCCTCCAGAGTACAGAAAATAATTAAGCTGCTTCTGACGCTACTGTTCATTCTGTTGTAATGTGGGACACAGCACCAAACTGGGCTGCTGTTGGTGTTCAGGCTAGCTGAGTCTGCTTTGGCAGCCTGCAGACAAAAAAAAAGGTCCTCTTCATACCATTTCATTCATCAGCACCAGCAGGCCCCTGTCTACAAAGTGGGCAGCAAACTTTTCTTTTTAAGCTATTTCTTCGGTGATCACCAATGTCAAGGCAACAGTTCCAGGCTTGCATTGTCTGACGTGGTGTGCAGCTGGTCTTACAATCTGGCACCAGCATCATGAATGTGAAAAGGTCTGAGCAGTGACGAGCTTAACAGAAGACTGCTGAAGAAATCAGTTAATAATTAACGAGATAAAGAGTGGAAGATTGCTCGAGAAAAGTCACTGAGAGCTATGGCAGACAGAGCACCATGAATGTCACTCAGCAAAACACTAATTAAAATTAAGAAAATTACATTGACAGATTATTGTGACTGTAAGATTACAGACAATAAAACAATCAAGGGGATCCAAAACATGTCTTAATAGGATGTCCATTTGCCTTACTTGAAATGCTCAAATATGGGAACAATAAAAGCAGCCTGAATGAGTGGGGTCAAGCTCCCACAGAACCAGGATTTTTAGTTTTAGTTTTTCAGTACCAGTTGCTGCTGCGGTCTTGACGCTGGGTTTGGAAGCTACAGTACATCTCTCCCTGCTACTCATTCTCTTCTCTCACACACCATTTTCTCTTGATGTTTTTCCTTTTTGACTGGAGAATTGTACACAGATTATAGAAGTCCTACAGTGTGGAAACAGGCCCTTTGGCCCAACAAGTCCACACCAACTCTCAGAGCATCCCACCCAGACCCATCTCTCTTTCACCCACCTAATCTAAACATCCCTGAACACAATGGAGCAATTTAGCATGGCCAATCCACCTAGCCTGCACATCTTCGGACTGGGGGAGGAAACCGGAGCATCCAGAAGAAACCCACGCTGACACAGGAAGAACATGAACACTCCACACAGAGTGTCGCCTGAGGGTGGCATCAAATCTGGGTTCCTGGCGCTGTGAGGCAGCAGTGCTAACCACTGAGCCACCATGCCGCCCACGAGACAATCCATTTCACTGAATTTGCCTTTACCAGCAACGTTACTATATTGGAACGGTTACACTTTAGTAGTTAAATAATCTATTACTCTGTAAAATTTTCCATAGAGTTAAGTTATTCTAATTCTTTTTCTTTTGTTATATTTTAACTATAGTGCATAAATAAAGTGTGTTTTGCTTCAAGACTGGTAGTTTGACCAATGAAATTGCAACCAGAATGTAATGCCTAATACTTGCCTTTAAAATAACAAAAAGTTAGGCTCTAGGATTTTTATTAATATATTTTCAGGGTTTCGTCTGATCCATAACAGGTTCTATCTATCTCGTATCAGATTTCTTATACACTCATTTGTATAATTTATCTATATTCAATCAGGGAATAATTTAAAGACTTGCCTCTGTGTTAGCAATTGTATTTTGTTTTCACATAAAGGGAGACTAATAAATTGCCAATGAAAATACATCGACTAATTTTGGTTTTTTTTGTTACATTTATTGATGTTTCATATTAATATCACAAATTCAAACCTGAGGTTATTTAAGAATTAGACAACTAGGTTGAGATAGACATGGAGAAAACACTGCCATAGATGTAATATGTTCATTTTAAAAATCTCATTTTAATTATACCTCTAGAAGGCACTGTTCAAAACAGTGGACAATGTTATGATCCCACTGAATTGAAAGCCAAGCTAATGGTCTTATGTGTTTACCTAGCTTGTCATAGACAATGTAGTGTAAACTTCTTCCCATTAACACCACAGAGGTTTGCAGTTACCTGCTTTCTAACAAAACTCTAGATTTAATCAGTGTTCAAGGATCTGACTGTTTTTAAAAAGTAAACTTTTCACAGAAGTAGCTAACACCCATCTTCATCTATTTTGAAATCTAAATTCCAAAAGAGATTTTGATACATCTAATTATACACCTTGTGATAACCATCACATGGTTAAACAGAAGTTACGTGTTTCAGAATATCAGAATGCAGAAAATGAAGTTAAAACACTCACCTTATTAATTTCTCGTTTTAAATTGCATGGAGAAAATTGATCAAAGTAACATCTGAAAGGTAATGCATCGATAGCTACAATTTCTGTGTTGCACCTCTGCCAAGTATCTCTGTATAAATTTAAGCAAGAGATCCTTCTTTAAAATCTTCTTTTTAAACAACATCTTTAACATTTTAAAACATCAAAACAGGCTTCACACGGTGTTATCGAATAGAATTTAATACTGAGCCATTTATGGAGATATTAGAGCAGACCAAAGTTTGGTCAAAGAGTCAAAAAAGATAGGATTGCAGAGTTTAGGTAGCGAATTATACAAATTGGGAACTTGGTAGTTGATAACCCAACCATCAATGATAGGAGGATTAAAATCACAGCTACTCTGGAGGCCAGAAATGGAGGTGTGTAGAATGACAGGAGATAACAGATCAATCCAAGGTTCCTTTTAGGTACAGGATAAATTTAAAGTGATGAATGATAAAATTCCTGAATATCATAAGAATGAATGATTAAAAGTTGTGGTTATTTTCTATAGAGCATTGACAATCTGCTAAAAATTCAGCAGACGATCTGCAAAACTATGATACTGGTGACAAAATCATATTTTTTTCAAAACACCAATAATAAAGAATTCTACTTTACACAGTAAGGTAGCCAGTAGTGATTAATTAATCATTCATGCAATCTCTGTGCAACATGCAGCTATGAGAAATAGACTGCAATAAATTTGAATGATTACATGGGACTACATCTATGTTGGAGTTATAGCTATTAAAAATAATTCCCATTTTCTCTTCATCAAAAAATAAAACAGAACAAAGAAATGTGTATAACTTCAGCATAAATTAAACATTATCAGCAGGGTACTGAAAGACTTGCTTCAACAGTACCACTATCTAAGTGGTAAAAGAGTAGCTACATCAGACATAGACATCTTAGTGATGTTTCATGATTTAAAATAATTCTTCAAGTCAAGCCATACTTCTTGGCACAAATGAAGATTTGAGCTGATTGAACCACAACATGACAGTAAAGAAAAAATGCTGTTAACTTTAAAATTGTTGTAAAACATGGGAATTATTCCCTTCCAAAATGTATTTACATACAAAGGCAGACAGATGAGCTATTTCAGACAACATATTAGTGCTTCTCAATGGGCATGATCTTCCTGAGCCTTGCCTTCAGGAAATGCTTATTTTCTCCAGTGCCAAAGCCATTAAAAAGGGCAGAAACATAGTCTTGTTGAATGTCCATCACTTTTACATAAGCTCACTCAGAAGAAGCAGGGTCTGTACACATCGCAGATGCAGGAAATCAAAACTACTCGAGTCACAGAGCAAAGAAACAGACCCTTCAGTCCACACAGTCTATACCAACCATAATCCCAAACTAAACTAGTTCCACCTGCCTGCACTCAGTCCATATTCCTCCAAACATTTCTTATTCATACACTTATCCAAATATCTTTTAAATATTGTAACCATCCACATCCACCACTTCTTCTGGAAGTTCATTCCATGCATGAACGATGTGTAAAAGAAGTTGCCCTTTAATGTTCTTTTCAAAATCTTTCTCCTCTCACCTTAAAATATGCCCCGAGTCTTGAAACCTCCTATCCTGGGGAAAAGGGTGCTATTCATTCTATCTATACTCCTCACGATTTTATAGACCTTTATAAATCTCTGCAGGAGTTCCTCAGGGTAGTGTCCTAGGCCCAACCATCTTCAGCTGCTTCATCAATGACCTTCCCTCCATCATAAGGTCAGAAGTGGGGATGTTCGCTGATGATTGCACAACACCATTCGTGACTCCTCAGACACTGAAGCAGTCCATGTTCGCATGCAACAAGATCTGGATAATATCCAGGCTTGGGCTGAAAAGTGGCAAGTGACATTCACGCCACACAAATGCCAGACTACGACCATCACCAATAAGAGACAGACAATCTCACCACCCTCCCTTGACTTTCAATGGTGTTACCATGACTGAATCCCCCACTATCAATATTCTGGGGGTTACCATTGACCAGAAACTCAACTGACTCACCACATTAACATAGTGGCTACAAGAGCAGGCCAGAAGCTGGGAATACTGCGGCAAGTAACTCATCTCCTGACGACTCCAAGCCTGTCCACCATCCTCAAGGCACAAGTCAGGAGTGTGATGGAATACTCCCCACTTGCCTGGATGAGTGCTGCCCCAACAACACTCAAGAAGCTTGACACCATCCAGGACAAAGCAGCACGCTTCATTGGCACTACATCAACAAACGTTCACTCCCTCCACCACCGACGCTCAGTAGCAGCAGTGTGTACTATCTACAAGATGCACTGCAGAAATTCTCCAAAGATCCTTAGACTGCACCTTCCAAACCCACGACCACTTCCATCTAGAAGGACAAGGGCAGCAGATATATGGGAACACCACCACCTCCAAGTTCCCCACCAAGTCACTCACCATCCTGACTTGGAAATATATCGCCGTTCCTTCACTGTCACTGGGTCAAAATCCTGAAATTCCCTCCCTAATAGCATTGTGGGTCAACCCACAGCAGGAGGAATGCAGTGGTTCAAGAAGGCAGCTCACCACCACCTTCTCAAGGGCAACTAGGGATGGGCAAGAAATGCTGGCCAGCCAGCGATGCCCACATCCCACAAAATGAATAGAAAAAAAAAGGTCACCCCTCAACCTCCTACGGTCCAGTGAAAAAAAGCCCCAGCCTATCCAGCCTCTCCTTACAACCTTCCATTCCTGGTAATGTTGTGGTAAATTTCTTCTGAACCCTTTCCAGCTTAATAATTTCCTTCCTATAACAGGGAGACTGGAACTGGTCACATACTCCAGAAGAGGACTTACCAACATCCTGTACAACCTCAACATGACATCCCATTTCCTATACTCAAGGGTCTGAGCAATGAAGGCAAGCTTGCTAAATGCCTCTTAACCACCTATCTACATGTGACACCAACTTCAAAGAATTATGCACCTGAACCCTTAGGTCTCTCTGTTCTAAAACACCACCCAAAGCCCTACTTTTAACTGTATAAGTCATGTTCTTGTTTATTTTACCAAAATGCAATACCTCATATTTATCCAAATTAAACACCATCTGCCACTCTACAGCCCATTGACCCAAATGATAAAGACCATTTTTTAATCTTAGATAAGCTTCTTCACTGTCCACCATTCCAACACTTAGTGTCATCCGCAAACTTACTAAATCATGCTTTCCATGTTCGCATCTAGATCGTTTATATAAATAACAAACAAAGGTGGACATAACACTGATCCCCATGAAACACCAATGGGCATCCAATCCGAAAAACAACGCTCCACTACCACTCTCTGTCCTACCATCAAGCCAATTTTGCATCCAATCGGCAAGCTCACTTTACGAATTAGTCTACCATGCGGAACCTTGTCAAAGGCTTTACTAAAGTCCAAGTGAACAACATGTACCACTCTGCCCTCAATCACCTTGGTTACTTCCTTAAAAACAACTCAATCAAGTTTGAGAGACAGGACCTTCCTTGCACAAAACTATGCCGACTATCTCTAGTCATTCCTTGCCTTGCCAAATGCATATAAATTCTATCTTTCAGAATTACCTCAAACGTACCCACCACTGTAGTCAGACTCACAGGTCTATAGCTTCCAGGCTTCTCCTTACATCCTTCTTAAACAAAAGGTACAATATTAGCCATTCTGTAGTCATCCGGCACCTCATCCATAGTTATAGAGGATACAAAAATTTCTGCAAGGGGCTCCGCCATTTCCTCCCTAACTTCCCACAACATCCTAGGATACTCTACATCAGGTCCCCGAGATTTATCCATCTTCATACTTTCTAAGATCTCCAGCACTTCCTCTTCTGTAATGTGAACTGTTTTCAAAACATCAATATTTACTTCCCCAAGTTCTCTAGCCTCCATTTCTTTCTCCAAAGTAAAAAACTAAAGCAAAATATTTATTTAATACCTCTCCCAATTCCTATGATTCAACACAAAGACAACCTCTTTGACCTTTAAGGAGCCCAACTCTCTCTAGTTGCTCTCTTGCTCTTATTGCACTTGTAGAGTCTCTTTGGATTATCCTCAACCTTATCTGCCAAGGCTATCTCCTATCCCCTCTTTGCCTTCCTGATCTCCCTCATAGGAATGCTCCTTTACTCTTTATACTGTTCAAGAGATTCATTTGAACCCATTTGTCCATATCTAATATGACTCTTTTTTATTCTTGACTAGAACGTCAATATCCTTATTCATCCATTGTCCCCTAATTCTACCAGCCTTGCCATTCACTCTAACAGGAATAATAACTCTGAACTCTTGTTATCACAATTTTGAAAGCCTCCAACTTTATCAGATATATCCCCGTTTACCTGTGAACAATCTACTTCAATCACCTTTTGAAAGTTCTTGACTCATATCATTGAAGTTTTTAATTGAAGTAAGGCAAATTTTAACTTCTTTGAAAGGCTTATCCTTTTCCTTAATTATTTTAAATTTGTCTTAAAAATATGCTCACTAGATCCAAAATATTCCCCTTTCACTTCAGTCACTTGGCCTGCCTTATCACCCAAAAGGTCAAGTTTTGCTCCTTCTCTAATAGGAACATTTACATATTGACAACGAAAATTTTCTTGAACACATTTAACACTATGATAGTCTCAGTCAATGTTTGGAAAATTAAAATCACCTATAATAACAACCTTATTATCCTTACATACATCTGAGATCTCTGTACATATGTGTTCCTCGATTTCCCTACGACTATCGGGAGGGCCTATGGTACATCCAATTAAGGTGATCATTCCTTTATTTCTAATTTCAATCCATACAGTTTCACTGACTTTTTTTTTTAAAAAGAAATATCTTCTTTAGTTACAGCAGTCCTTAATTAAAAATGCCACTTCCTAAAAGAAAAACGAATGAACTGTTCCTGGAATACTATCTCATTTTCTGGTAGAAAGGGAAGTTGGCATCTCTGCATAGAGACAGACAGAAAGTGTGACTTGAAACATTCTCAAATTTTCAGAATTCCAAACTCCACCAGGGGTCATACAGCCTGATCTGCAAGACTGCCATCAAGCTACAGATCTAAGACTGAGAAGCTTCCACCAGCACTAGGCCTGAAATTGTGAATGCTTAAGTTGCACTTTCAAACCAAACAGCATTTGTGGGTTTAGAAGGATTTTCAGTTGCTAAATTTACAAAGTGCAAAAGCAACTTTACTGCTGACATACGAGTCATGTGGCGTGTTCCAATAAACAACATTACAAACACATCTCCTGAGGACATCCTGCTGGGTGATTGGTGCTTAGCTCATACTTATTTTGATCCTGCAAGCTTGTGCTGAACAGATACTCAGAGTTGAGTCAATACGGTGTGGAGCTGGAAGAACACAGGTCAGTCAGCATCAGAGGAGCAGGAAAGTCAATGTTTCAGGTTTTCGCCCTTCATCAGGGCAGGGGAGGGGGAAGGAAGCTCGGAAATAAATAGAGGGAGGGTGTTCAGGCTGGGGCTGAGGGGAGGTAGGTAGTTTGGGGATAGGTGGTGGCCCAGGATGGACATGACACTAAGGGAGTGGGAGGGGGAGTTAAAATGGTTGGCAACCAGAAGGTGCTGTTGATTATAGCATACAAAGCTCTGCGAACTGCACTGACTCCGCGCTTGGTCTCACTGATATTGAGGAGACCACATCGGAGCAGTAATGGGTTTGTATCAGTATGTGGTTGAAGAGCTTCAGGGCAGAGGAGATCACCAGTGGGTTGCAGTGGAAGAGAGAATCACTGAGATCTTTTCAGAGGGAGGAGGACAACTTCTTCAAGGTGGGCATCCTTAGAAGAGTCTTCGCAGTAAGGTTTTCAGGCACTCGGAGTAGCAAGAACTGCAGATGCTGGAGTCAAGAGTCAATATAGTGTGGAGCTGGAAGAACACAGCAGGTCAGGTAGCATCAGAGGAGCAGGAAAGTCAACGTTTCAAGTTTTCACCCTTCATCAGGACTGGGAAGGTGGGGGGGGGGAAGCTCAAATAAATAGTGGGAGGGGGTGGTGCAGGGTTAAGGTAGATGGGATGGTGATAGGTGGATGCAGGTAGAGGGTTGTGGAGATAGATCATGGAAAGGGTGGGGTGGATAGGTGAGAAAGAAGATGGACAGGTTGTGTCAGGTCAAGGAAATGGGGATGAGAGAGAGGGTTAGACATGGGATGAGGCCGGGGGTCGGGAGATTCTGAAACTGATGTATTCCGTGTTGAGGCCATCGGGCTGTTAGTTGCCGAGGCGGAATATAAGGTGTTGTTCCTCCAGTTTACCTGTGGTGTCATTGTGACACTGGAGGATGGCCTCAACATAGAATTCACCAGTTTCAAAATCTCCCCACCCCGGCCTCATCCCATGTCCAATCCTTCCTCTCATTCGTGCCTCCTTGACCTGACACAACCTGTCCATATTCTTTCTTAGGTCATGGGAAGGGTAAGGTAAATAGTTAAGAAAGCATATGGGCAGGTTGTGTCAGGTCAAGTCTCCTGGTTTACCAGCAGAGATGGGCCTTCCCACCTGAGTAAAATAAAGATTGCTTGACATTTGAATGAAAGAACTGTGTTAAGTGCTGGTTTAAAATACTCCACAGTATCCTTAGTTACTAACAGCCAGAGATGGGAGATCCTGGTGCTTCTCTCAAGCATCATTAAAGGGGGTGGTACCTGAGATACCTGCCCTAAAAAATCTCTAACAGCTCAATTCTGGATGGCAGAGAACAGAGCCTCTACTCATTTCTTTCAGTCTTGCAGCAACACAGTTAAGGAACCTATCCAAATTAGGAGTCATGGATGTGAATGCAAGCCCTTATATGAAAATGGTGAGTTTTTTTTTGACTTGTAAGAAAAGTTTAAGTAACAAATATGAACAGATTTTCTGACACAAAGCTAATGAAAAATAAACAGTTAACTTGTAATTATAATAGAGTTCAGAAATGGAAACTTTGTGCCATATATATTTGCACTGATAAATAGTATAGGTCCTTTAACATCATTCCCTGTATCTTTAGTATTTTTGGGCGCTTGCCACCAGTGGGGCTTGTTAATCAGCTTCATAAAGCAAGAACAAAATAAAGTTACTTTATAAGAATTAGACATAGTTGTTAAAATAAAACTAAGTTGCACTTTTAAACCAATACCTTGGAGTCTTGTCATTGTAGTGCCCCGCCCATTTGTACGTATCTGCGTAGCCTTTGTAGACAGAGTATTGCTCGGTACCTAAAACATACAGACAACTTGTTGTAAAATTGCAGCTCTTGACCAATCAAAAGGCTTCCATCCCCACATCAGGTACAGTGGAAGATGAGCACGATGCTGGACAGAATAAAAACATAAATCTGGAATAAACAGAAAATGTTGGAACTATCCAGTAGGGAAGAGAGGTGGTTTGACTTTCAGTCAGATGACTGATGACCTTTCATCAGAACTGAGAAAATTTAGAACTGCAATAGTTTTCAAGTAAGTGAAAAGAAAGAAAATGGGAAGAACAACAAAAGGGGAAGTCTGTAATAGGATGGAACATAGAAGAGATTAAATGACGACAGGATTAGTGTGTGTGCAAGGCCAAAGAAACTTGTTTGGAAGAAGTAAAGGAACAAACAAAAAATCCTTTTGCATAATTTGCCCTCATTAGGAAATGACTTACATGGTCTAAATAAATGAATCACTTCCACCACGGTTACAACTGATTTTTTGTTTTCATTGATGAATATTGGCTTCAAGAAAATGTATTTACACTGGCCACTGCCTGAGAAAGCTTGACAGAGCAGACATGTAAATGGACGTCATGAGGGAACAGTACCAGATGCCGAACAATAGGAAGCAAGATAGTACGACTAAGTGGATAGTGAAAATGGGTTGAATGGCCTCTTGTAAGAATTTACAAATACAGATGTAGCTGCAGTGCATTTTGAATTATAAGAGGCATAAGCAAGAATTGGCAGAACATCAAGTAGTTATTGCCTCGGGTGTCTCCACGGTACAGAAGAACAATGGTCACAGGTGGGCATTGTATGAAGAAGGCGCAAGCATAATCCATATTCTTTGCTTCAAATAGTGTTCTGGAGGCTAGATGCTACAAGTGGCAATTCCATGTCTATTTTGCAATTCAGTAAGCTATATGAAAAGATGAGAAATGATAGTAAACAGCAGCTTGAAATTCGGTTGATTTTTCCCCTCTTTTCCACCTCATTCTCTAATGACCAGCGCCAACTACAGCTGCTTCACCATCACTTGGACTCAAAGGTCGTCTCGGTACAATCGCATTACATATCTGACACTTTCCTTTATCAAACCTAGAACCAATTTAATTGAATGTTGTACATACACTGACAGACACACCAACAAAGCTAATGTGTCTTTATTTTGGTCCTGTTTCTTTGAAAATGCTTCTTTATTTAAACTGTTCCACGGCATAAGCAAGAACATTTCTTCAGATGCAGCAGAGGTGGCCAAGAGCATTTCAGATTTAAAGGTAAGCATGTAACAACGGAAACATTTAAGCTATCAAGCTTCACCTCTGCTTTTAGCGGTTTCCTTTCTAGTCTGAGAAGTTGTGTTGGGACATTGCATACCCTTGCTACCTGCATTCCTTTCACTTGTTTTTATTTTTCTCAAATTTACAGTCAAATTAAAACATTTAATGATCCTCCAAACTACCTAATTGTTCCTTACGAATAACTGATCTTGGACACCAAGTTTATAACTTAAACAAAAATTGATAATTTATTATTAGTATTAAAACTTTAACAGAACAGATAAATAGCAAGGTAAGCTATTTAATATCTATGATTAAAGCTAAATTTTCGTTGATCATAACCCCTACACTCTCTCAGACAGACAGACACAGTTAAGGAATAAATTTAAATAGAAAGTAAAAGAAATGTAATTTGCCAGTTCAATAAAAAGCTTCCAACAATTAATACCAGTCCTTCACAAACTCTTTGGACATATTGTTGAGACACAAATAGAATTGTATATCTTGTTTGAATTCTGAAGTCATCTGTTAATGCAAACAGTTTTAGCAGACTTCTAGAAATATTTACTTACTTGACTGGGATTCTTTCCCTTGAACCCAACAATTCAATAACTGGGGAGAAACTAGAGACACAGCAAGACCAAGCAGCACTGTCTCTGAAAGTCTGCAAAAATCACACTGCCTCCTGCCAAATCCCAGTCAAAAACAGTTCTGCCTTGATTGACTAATTCAACATCCAACCAGCTGTGCTCTTGAGCATAGCAACAGGTTGGTAATGATTTGTCTACAGTGTCCTTAGATCAGTAATTAAATTGCATTATCTTTCCAGGCCAGTTTTCAGCAGAAAAGACCTGTCATTTTTCTTTTTTTAAAACAGGCTTCTGAAATCACGATTAATTCACTAAGAGAATAAAACAAGATCAAATTTTTTTAAAAATCAGAAGAAATATTTACACAAGTCAGCAAAGCAAGCTATGAATAACATCTACCTTATATTCTAACATCCAGAATTAACATGAGGTAACCATGAACTAACAGGCAAATTGTGGTTGAACACCCCATAAACTGTACCTTGAAATGGAAAATACAAAGACGGATCCTGTGAACTTCTCAGCAATCAAATCAGATGGCAGTGAGCACAGAATCACAAAAATGCTTTGAAGTCCTACCCCTCTCATATGATTTGACTCTTGTTTTTTGATGACACAGCCTCCAATTTCCCTCAAAAGCCAGTCCAACTTAAATTGAATCAAAGACTGCTCACTTCCCAGTTGTTCCAACTCTTCTCATGACACTGAGTTAAATGAGATTCACAAGGCTGCATTCCAACATCTAATCACCAGCACAATTTGAGCTCGTTAGTTGCTCTAGGCAGAACATCTCTACTCACAGGCATTCATTTGCCTCAACAGTTCGCTTCAGCAACAGACAACCGCTACTTACAAGGTTTTCATTGCCTAATTGCCAGCTTGCTACCAGACAGCTTCCTTTCAGCTCCACTGAACTGATAAACGCTCAAGGCTACTGGAGTCCCAAATACCCAGCAGCATGGAGCCAGTGACATTCCGTTACCATCTCAATTTCCCATGGGCATTTCTAAGCCTCAAATTCATAAAATCAGTGAAAGATTCCTGGGGCTTCTCTGAGCCAGTTCCATGGGTACCTCAAAACTACTAACAGCATTTTAATTACATGGAGTTAGCCACCTCTTCTCCATTGTTCCTGGATAACTTTGACTAACGTGTTCACTGACCCTTAAACTGTTCTGAAAGATCTATCATACCCTCAAAACAGGGCCTTATCCATTAACTTAGACAGATGGGAATACATAAAAACCTTTGGAACATTCGATGCTTGAAAGATTATAATCTGAAGTGAACTAATTGTTACTCTCCATTCATGCTACAGACGGACCAAAAAAACATTTTTGTCATATAGACAAAATTTGATAAGAGGGTTAAAGGACTGGCGTTCTCATCTCAAATATTTTGCAAATTTGTTGTTAAATCTCATATCATGACTTTGAGTCAAAATCATTGTGGGGGAGGTTTGGTAAAATATTCAATACAGAATTAAGTTATGAGTTACAGGTTGCACAACTTAAGAGCATAAACAAAGTTTTCTCCTTCACAGATGCTGCCAGACCTGCTGAGCTTTTCTGGCAACTTTGTTTTTGTTCCTGATTTACAGCATCCACAGTTCTTTCCGTTTTTACAACTTAAGAGCAACTTGAAGAATAAATTTTATTTCTCTTATTACTGTTCTTTGTCCTTCCCCTAATGAAGATCTTGACTTCTTGCGGGGATGCTACCTGCCATGCCTCAGAAGCCTCCAACAGTATTGGTCATTATCGTGGTGAAACTCAAGAGTAAGAGTATGCAAGCTAAAAGAAGCATCAAAGCCAAAACATTATAAAATCCTGAAGTCAATACCTCAGAGGTCAATACCTCATCTATTTTCTCTCAATAAATTGTTGGAATTCAAAGTTTGTCTTTCCATTTCCTTTAAACTGATTTCTCTCACTTGCATCATTCATGATCACTCAAAAAAAAATGACAAGAGCATTATAAAGCAGGAAAAGATTTTTGTTAATCATTTAAAAGCCATTACTAGAAAGAGCATCATGGTGCAAAAAAGACACCTTTTCATTTACATATTCCATTTGATACTTATGATAATTTGTTATTTGTACTTTCACATCATGAGATGTCGTGTAGATAATGTGAAGTAAAGAAATGCAGCCTAATATACAAAGCTCAATGTGTCAATGGCTCATAATACAATCTGGAAACAGAAATTCAAAGTATTCATCTGCAGGTAATTTGTCCTCTGATAACATTGAAGCAAGTTTGTACAAATGTTAATCATCATGCTCATTTCAGAACCAATTAAGAATATAAAACAATAGAAATTGGAACTGACATAAGGGATTTATATGTATCTGGAGGTGGTCTCTTCTTGCCATTTGTGATGTTGCACCAATTCTGACATTAGGTTACACTTTTGTAACTCCATTAGTTTTCAGTATTCTTAAAAACAATGCAATATGACACAATTATACAAGTAAACAGCATTTGCCTTTTTAATAATAAGCACTGTAGCTTTTAGATTTTGCAGTTAACATCAAATTGCACTGACTGATAATGGCTTTTTTGACAAATTGTTGTCCAGTGATTAAGCTGCACATTCCATACTAGCAAAAAAGACCAAACTATTTAAAAAAATGAAATGTTCACAACGATTTCTTAAATGATGGATCTTTTTGAAGCAAATTATATTTAGAAAAGACAATGACTTTTTTTTTAAAAAATGGTCAATGATGCACCACACCTCCTCAGGCACTCTTCGAACAAAAATCAAATTGTTGATTGCTAAAAATAAAATGCACTCGTCAACTTTGCAGCCAGAAAGTCACTTATGACCTTCAGGATTCACAAATGTTTGATTCCTGACAGCCCAGGTATAATACCTGAAAGTATTTGACAACAAAATGTCATAATATATTTAAACTGAGGCTTATTGACTTAAATTTTGGCAGCTTGGTAAAAGACTAAAATACTGATCATTGCTGTTAACACAGCTGTCAACATTAGCTCCCTCTACTGTCTACGCTCAATTTTACCATTCACTAATAATGCCCACTTAATTCAATTCCCTTCCTGTTTAAAATCGCCCAAAAAACTACCAAGTTCTCTCAGGTCACATTAGCCAGTTAAAGAGAATAGTTTAATTGAAGCTGTGC